AGGCAGCTCCTTCATCCCGAAAATAAAGCAGCTGGGGCTGAAAGGCCCCATTTATTGGGCTCCCTGCTGGGCCCACGAAGGCCCAGAGTGGCAGAGAAGCTCATAATGCCCTGCCTGGCATCCAGCCACCCCTCGGAGCAGGGACACGGAGCTGAATCCCAAATGAAACGGCTCTGCCTGAAAACAGAGGAGGATTCTCCCTCCCAGGGTAAATATTCCTGGTTCAGCCAAATCTTCCTGCATCTCCCTCAGCCCCACACCCTGTGCCAGCTGCTCCTGCCCAGTGTGGGCTGAGGAGGTCTGTCATTCCATGGCAGGAACATTCCAGGCTGTCTGTTTGTCCCTGGGAGAGGGACTGGGGCCGACACCTGCCCTCAAAATCAGTTTAAAGACAATGAACCTCCCACCCCCCTCTGCTCACACCCATCACAGCAGAATAACCAAATCTCAGGCCTAAGAAAGCTGAGCTGGCTCAGGGGGTGGGAACACCAGGATATGGAGTATTTGGGATGGGGGTGAGGGGGGCAGTTCACACAGCCAAGCTGGGCAGGAAGAGAAAACCTTTGCTGTCTCAGGGCTGGGCGAGGGTTGCTCTGACTCCTCCTGGGATTGTCTTCCCTCAAGGGCCACCAGGCTCATTCCTGGTGGAGACAGGACTGAGGGGGCTGTGGAGGGAGATCAGGAGGGGCTCAGTGCCAGCTTCTGCCTCTTCAACTCCCTGAGAGGCCTTAATGTTGCACTGAAATGTTAAAGGTGACATTCAAGGCCGTTTGTCACCCCCAGGGCTGTCACTTGGTACTCGGTGACACTGCCCTGTCCCTTTGGCTGCCCCTTTGTTTCCCCAGGGGAGCTGAGGTCATCATTCACTTTGGATTCTTTCCCTAGGAAAGGACAACCAGGATTTCAGAATCATGGAATGACAGAATGCTCTGGGTTGGTGGAGACCTTAAACACCTCGTGCCACCCCCTGCCACGGGCAGGGACACCTTCCCCCAGCCCAGGTTGCTCCAACCTGGCCTTGGGCACTTCCAGGGATGGAACAGCCACAGCTTCTCTGGGAAGCCTCCTTTGCAAACCTTCCATCTCTGGTTGTGCTCAGGGAGCTGCTGCCTTGCAGAGAAATGCAGTTATCCCCAGACCAGCGTGCCCTGGCATCCCAGTGCCCTGTACCCCAGTGCCACCCTGCCCCAGGCAGAGCAGATACCTGCTGTCATCCGGCACGGCTGGACTCCTCCTCTGCTGCCCTTCCTCCTCTTCTATCTCAATCCTTTCCAAGGGGAAAAAGAGAGACAAATACCACGTTGTTTCCTGTTTTCCCCAGCTAACCCAGGAGGTGTGGTCCTGTTTTCCCTGGAGCTGTGTTTGCCCTGTTTCCCCCCCGGGGCAGGTTGTTCCTGCTCCTCCTCCTGAGCTGAACGGAGCCAGGTCAGAGACAATTTTACAACCAGCATCATCTGAGTGCTTGAATTCCAGAGAGAGACATTTCCCTACCCCACTGACAGCTTTAGAAGTGGAATGCCTGAAGAGCATTCCCCAGCTGGCCAGAGTCAGGTTCCCTGGAAGCAGAAAGTCTCTCCATGTCTCACGTTGTCCATAACCCAAAGCACCACCAGTGTTGTTTTCTCACTGTTTATCTCAAAAGAATCCCAGTGGGATCCAACCCCAAGCATCCTTTTTAAAGGAATTGTCCCTCCTCTGCTTTGAAACACCTGGGATCTGCTATCCCAGCACTTAACCTGGAATTCCACAGAACCCACTCCAGCAGCGCTTCCCGAGGGTCCACGACCTACCTCTTGGCAAACAAGGGTGGGAATTCCTGTGTTGGGCTGCTGTGAAGGAAGGATTGAGGCAACAGTTAGAAGTTTGGAGGGAAAAAAACACACCTTGGGCAGGGGCAGAGCCCCCCAAATCCCTGACCCAGCACTGCCCCAGGGGCTGCAGGGTCCTGTCACCCCCCTTGGGCAGAGCTGGCAGTGCCCAGGGGGGACACATTCCAAATCAAATAATACAAATGCAAATATACAAGTAGAAAAAGCAGCTGAGAAGGAAAGAAGCTTCCCCAAAGGGCCTTTTTTAATTGCAAATTGTTACAATTTTTTTAATTGTTCTCCCAGCAGGCAGACCTGGCTCCTCCCACAGCACACACCACCCAGTGCTCCAGAGGAACCAGCAGCCAGGGAAAAAACACCCTCAAAGTCCTTATAGACCCTGTCCAAGTGCTTTCCATGTCCTTACACATCCTATCCAAGCACTTCTCCCACCCTGGGCACCGCTGAGTGCTGCTGGCACATCCCCTCCCTGCTCCTGCTGCACCTCCCTCCCGGTGCCTCGTTGTGTCACCCAGAGTTATGTCAAGAGGAAAAGCATTTCTAGTGAAAGCAGCCTGCAAAAAACCCACAAAAAAACCCCACCCCATCACAGCTCCTGGGAGAGCAGAGACCTTGAAAATCTGCTTTTTTTTTCCCTCCCAGGGAAGAGATGGACAGCAGAGCCTTGGGCACCAAGAGCTCCCATGAGGTTCTTCCCTCCTGTGAACCCACACGGGGGGGTTCTTCTTTTCCCCACAGAACTATTTTGAAGCTGCAACTGAGATCAGGGGCTTGTAAATGCAGCTCTTGTCCAAACACAAACTGTCACAAAGGGCTGCTCCATGCTGGAGGCAGTTTATGTTTGTTCTGATTTTTCTCGTGCACTCAATGAGATTGGAGAGAGCACTTTAAGAGCTGAGGCTGAAAATTGGACTTTCTATTTCAGAGCTCTCGTGGTTTTTCTTTTCCTGAAGTTTCACCCCTCTCAGGGAGGAAGACTTGGAGGATTTCCCCAGTTCTGCAGAAAGCTGCAGATATCACAGGATCATGGAATGGTTTGGGTTGGAAGGATCTTAAAGCTCATCCAGCTCCACTCCCTGCCAAGGGCAAGGACACTTTCCACTATCCCAGGTTGCTCCAAGCCCAGTCCAACCTGACCTTGGACACTTCCAGGGATCCAGGGGCAGCCACAGCTTCTCTGGGCAACCTGTGCCAGGGCCTCACCACCCTCACAGCCAGGAATTCCTTCCTAATATCCCATCTATCCCTGCCCTCTGGCAGTGGGAAGCCATTCCCCCTCATCCTGTCCCTCCATCCCTTGTCCCCAGTCCCTCTCCAGCTCTCCTGGAGCCCCTTTAGGCCCTGCAAGGGGCTCTCAGGTCTCCCTGGAGCCTTCTCTTCTCCAGGTGAACCCCCCCAGCTCTCCCAGCCTGGCTCCAGAGCAGAGGGGCTCCAGCCCTTGGAGCATCTCCGTGGCACATCCTTGGCAGCTGCACCTTCACCATTACCACGGTTCCCTTCACCTTCAGAGCCTTGGGACCAGCCACCATTCCTGTGAGACACCTCCAACAGCCCCTTCCCAGCTCCTGCCCCTCCCTGGACATTGGAGACTCACCCATTGCTCTTCTTGGCCGCTGACAGGACGTAGGCGCGTTCCCGGCCGGCCGAGCGCCGCAGGACACTGTTGGCAGCCTCAGTCCTGCAAGGAGGGGGAGACAGGGTCACATCCTGCTCATCCTCACCCTGGTTGAGCTGCAGATTCCAGGAATAACCCAGAGGAGGCTGGTGCTGACCCTGGCAGAGCTCCCACACTCTGGGTAGCAGAAATCAGAGAATCGTCAAGGCGGGAAAAGATGTTCCGACCATCAACCAGCACCACGGTCACCTCTAAACCACCTCCTCAAGTGCCACATCCACAGGTTTCTTGAACACTTCCAGGGATGGGGACTCCACCACTGACCCCTCTTTCTGTGAAGAAATTACCCTAAAATCTCCAGTCTCCACTGAGCCAGAGCTCAGAGCAGTGACAGTGTCTTAACTTCTCCTTCAGTCTCGTTCCTGCTGGACCACAGCACTTCCACGTGCATGGAAAGCACCAGGGGGGAAAACCAAATACTTCCTCTTGCAGGAGGGCAGAGAGAGTTTTCCATTCTTTTCCCAGACCTGGATTTTTGCAATATTGGATACCATGGGACAGAAAAAATGGGAGACAGGACACACTCTGTGTTCACCCCAACAGCAGGAGCACTGGGAGCACTGAGAGAGAGCAAATCCCTGAAAGGGCTTCTGATGGTTTGACCCCAGGGGGCAAATGACCCAGTTTTCATCTGTACAAGGCTTGTGTCTGAGGAAAAGGGGCTTCAGAGGCTCAGCTGGAAGCAACAAGAGAAATCAGACCTGTTCTTGTCTGCTGCCCCATCCCTGGAAGTGTCCAAGGCCAGGTTGGACAGGGTTTGGAGCAGCCTGGTCCAGTGGAAGGTGTCCCTGCCCATGGCAGGGGTGGGACTGGATGGGCTTTAAGGTCCTTCCAACCCAAACAAATCTGGGCTGATTCCATGATTCTGCTCCTGAGATGAGCGTGACAGACCTGCCAGGATGTGGCCTTGGATTCCATCCCTGAGTGATCCCGACCCCGGGGGAGGGAGTTGGGCTCCTCCCCTCCTGCCAGGCTGTCTGTACATCTCTATCTCCTCACTGGGACACGAGGCAGCCCATGGATTCCACAGCCCTTCCCAGCTGCCCAGTTAATTGGGCTGTGCTGTCAGGTTGGATCATGTCAGGCTTTTAATTACATTTTGTTGGGAGGGCAGTGGCCCGTGGGCAGAGTTGGGCTCTGAGCAGAAATATATTATTATTATTATTATTATTATTATTATTATTATTTTATTGCAAACCAGCCCTAATGGCTCATCCATGTCATTCCCAGGAATGAACAGCCCAGCTGGAGAGATGCCACTTGTCCTTGCCCCTGCAGGAACACGGAGGGACCTCCAGGACTCACCTCTTCTTGTGTTCATCCGGAGAAAAAGGCACGTCCTCCTCATCCCCATCCACGGATTTCTGCCTGACGTTGTAAGGAGCTCTGCAACAGAGAGGGAAGGGGAGAGCCAGGGTAAGGGGCACAAGCCAAACACAGCTGAATCCATGGACATGTGGAAATGGTTCAGATCCTGGAAAACACTTGTATTTTCCGTGTGCATTGGGGTGCACTCGTCCCTGCAGGGTTTTGTTTCCTTCCTCCAGCCCCATTCCAGAGCAGAGCCACATTCCAGCAGTGCTGCCCTGCCACAAGGCTCCTCCTTTCTCCAGCTTTCAGGAAGTCCAGCAGTGCTCCAAACCAAGTTCCCAGGCTGCATCCTCCAGCCTGTGCCTTGGGATCAAACTCCCTCCATGCAAAGGCCAGTTCAAGGAGCACTTGATGGCCACGGAGGCTCTGGGAGCCACTTCTTTCCAGTGGGAGCTCTGGAAGCTTCCTGGGCATCCCTGTGCAGGTGGCCTTGGCACTGAGCAGGGACAGGGAGCTGCTCCCTCTGCACACTCACAGTTTCTTGTAGTCCTCAGTGGTCATCCTGTATCCAGAGGGGGACCGGCCCAGGCTCTGTCCCTTCATGGAATTGCTGCAGGAGGCACAAATCACACCTGTTAATGTGATCCTTCCCCAGGGGAGCTCCACAGGGGGGAGGAAAACAGGGTCAGCCCAAATATCCACCCTCACTAAATGCTGTTGAATTGAAGAGCAGCATTTGCTTTCTTTTTAGGGTTTAGGGCTGGGATTTGAGGTCTGCTTTGCTTCCCCAGGGATACTGTGAGCTGTCGGAGCTGGTGTGGGCAAATCCTGCTGTGGGATGGGGGAATTCCACCCCAGGACCTTGTGGCATCATCCTTGTCCCCAAAACAGGGTAGGAAAATGGGGTTACAAAAGATTTGGCCTGAGATGAAACAAAGGACTTCTAGAATCACAGAACCATGGGATGGTTTGGGTTGGAAGGACCTTAAAGATCTTCCAGTCCCACTCCCTGCCGTGGGCAGGGACACCTTCCACTCTCCCAGGTTGCTCCAAGGCCCGTCCAACCTGGACACTTGCAGGAGTGGGGCAGCCCCAGCTCCTCTGGGCTCAGATCAGAGCCACACTCAGACCTGACTCCTCGGGTTCCAAAGCCAGTGCCTTGCACAAAACAGGTTTCAAAATAACCCCCAACAAACAAACCCCATTAAAAACACCGACATGGAGCGTTCCAGCTTTGCAAGGATTCCTGGGGCTTTGTTCCTCACTCCAAACCCTTTGCCAAACCAAACCCAAACCCACAAGTCCTTTGGCAGCCGCCCCGAGCTCCGGCGAGGAACACACAGGGTTTGACCCCAGAATTCCATAGGGATTTAGGGGAGCTCTGGAAGCCCCCAAGCACTGGACAAAGCCAGAGGATGACCAGAAACGTGTTCCAAGTGTTTAAAAGCTCCTTTTCCCGGAGAAAAAGATGCGCACGTACTTTTTCTGTGCTTGGTTGGGAGAGGAGGAATCCGGCACGGCCGAGGTCTTGTCGATGGTCCTGGTGAACACCCCCCTGGGGAGGGAAGGGACAGCTTCAATTTGTGGCTGGAAAATGTTTGGAACCAAGACCAAACTACCTGTTAAACAACAGGACTGTCTCTTCAGCAAGGCCCTCCCTGAGCACTGTGTTCCCAACCAACAGAACCCACCAGAGAGGACTGGTTTTCGTGCCTGTTGCTCCTGATCCAGCTCTCCTTCCCCTGCAGCCCAAATTTATCCCATTCCATACCAACCTGATGAGGTAACCGGACTGGGGCTTGGAGGAAGGTGACCTGTGCAAAGAACAGACATCAGTGAGTCAAGAAACATGGGAGAAAACAACAGCAGCAGCACCAGGATTAAAAGGGAATGTCCACGTGGATGTCACACCAAAAATCCAGCTGAGCAGGCCTGGAGGGATCCCAGAGCTGCTGCACCTGGGTCAGCCTGGGGAGGGTTCTTTAGAAATGAATAGTCATCAGGACAAGCCCTAAAAAAGATTATTTTTTTTTTTTTTTAATAAGAAAAGCGAGTTTTAGAATTTTCCAGTTCCAATTAGCCACGCTGGCAGGGTTTTCTGGCCCAAAATTAACAGCAAGTTGAGGGCACAGAGGGGAGAAGTTGGGTGTAATCGAGCTCCTGGTCGGTTTATCACTGCAAAACAACTTTATGTGAACTCCTCTGAGGGTCCATTCCTGGGAAGGGAGCTCCTCTGGGGGTATCCTGTCTAAGTGCTACAAGAAGTGGCAAGAGCTGGCACAGGAAAAGGGAGAGGAAGCAGGAAGCTGCTCCTGGGAGAGGGCAGTGCTGTCCCAGCAGTGGCACTGAGCTCTCACACAGCACTAGGCCCTTCCCAACAGTTTGATATGCCAGGACAGCCCTCCTCCCAGCCCCTGGGTCCCTGGAGAGCCCTTGTGCTCCTTGGGAATTCGGTCCCACCCAGGGCTTCTCCTGCTCTGAGGAGCCCCCAGGCTTAGAGCACACAGGAGGCTGAGCTGCAACCCCAGTCTTGTGGGACTGTGGGCTGGAAAGCATCCATCCTTCCTTCCCTCCATCCCTCCATCCTTCCTTCCCTCCATCCATCCATCCTTCCTTCCCTCCATCCATCCTTCCTTTCTTCCTTCCCTCCATCCTTCCTTCCCTCCATCCTTCCTTCCCTCCATCCATCCATCCTTCCTTCCCTCCATCCATCCTTCCTTTCTTCCTTCCCTCCATCCTTCCTTCCCTCCATCCTTCCTTCCCTCCATCCTTCCTTCCCTCCTTCCTTCCTTCCATCCTTCCTTCCATCCCTCCATCTCTCATCCATCCATCCCTCCCTCCATACATATATTCCTCCATCCTTCCTTCCATCCACCCATCCCTCCATCCACCCATCCCTCCATCCATCCTTCCCTCCATCCATCTACCCACCCCTCCATCCATCCTTCCTTCCTTCCATCCATCCCTCCCTCCACCATTCCTCCTTCCCTCCATCCCTCTCTCCCTCCCTCCCACCTCTGCCCTCTCCATGGGGACAGTTTCCAAGGCCTTACACGACCCCTGTAGAAGATGTTCTTAGAAGAGCAGTGAATTTTTGAGTTCCCCCGTTCAAATCAGCCCCCCTGGCATTGTCTGCTGGCTCCAAACAAAGCCCCAGCACAAGGCAGGGGCTCCTCAAGGGCTCTGCTTTTCCAGCACAATCCCAGCAGGGAGCAGGTTTGAGGAGGAGAAGAACCACTGGAAGCACCAACCCCGTGAGAGGGGAAGGGACAGGATGGATCCCCAAACCAAGCTGGGCCCCCAAAATTACCTGTCATTCTGGGGAGCAGCAGGTTTTGGGGCTGGGGATCCCCCACCGGCCCGGCCAGACCTGAGAGAGGAGAAAACATCATGAATTGAGGGTCTGGCTGAACATGGCAATGATGGTTTTGGAGAGAGCTGGAAGAAAAGATGGATTTGGGCTTGGTTTGGGTTCTAATTCCAGCGAAGCTGGTGCAGCCTGGTGTTCCCTGGCACTGTGGGAGCTGAACTCCCTCCCAGCCAGGTCTGCCCTGTGTTCATCACTCTGGAGATGCCAAAGCACTTCAAAAAAACTTGGAGTTCTCCTGAGACTTCCAATGTGCCTGTGCTGCTGGATTCCCAGCTCCCAGGAAAGGGGATTTCCCAGAGCCCCAGCCTGCATTTATCCAAAATAAGCAGGAGCAGCACTTCCTTCTGGCCCTGTCACTGCCTGGCACCTCAGGGACCCCAAAACAACTCTGCAGCTGGAGAACAGAGGGCTTGGAGAACCCAGAGCTCCAGGAGTGCTTGGAGAAGGTGGGATTGTTGGGATGTCCTGTGCAGGGCTAAGAGTTGGATTGGATGGTCCCTGTGGGTCCCTTCCAACTCAGGGCATCCTGTGGGGCTGCTCACAGGAGTGGGAGGAGAAGGGAAGGGAAAAGGGAACATCCTCATGGGAAGAAGAAGAGGAGCATCCTCGTGGCCACACTTACAGGGGGCTGCTCTTCTTCTCCTCCTCAGAGTCCGAGTTGTGGTGGTGGATCCAGCTCTTGTCTCCTCTCAGGGTGGTGCGAACCTTCATCTGCTTAATGATCCTGCGCCGGTCCTCGTCCGTGGGGGGGATGATCCCTCCTGCAGAGCCAGGGGAAGGGGGGAGAGAGGGATCAGAAAGGCCAAGGCCTCCCAGAGCAGCAGGTGAGAGGGGGTGGAGGAGCAGGAGCACGGGGCTCTCTCCTCTCTGCCAGAGGTCCCAACACCGGGCGAGTCTCTTCCCACTTCCAACGAAACATGGAGACACGAGGTCATCCAGTCCTCAGGATCAACTTATCCTGATGCATCTCCTCCTCTGCAGGGTGTTTTCACACCTCAGTGGTCTCAGCTTGCCCTGGTGGCCTGTCCCAGCTGGAGGAGACACGTCCTTTGGCTCCTCATTCCCACATTTCCATCCCCAAGCTCCGTTTCAAGAGCATATTGTCCAACTGAATCTCCCTAAATCTGGGAATGTCCTCTCCTGGGTGGGCTCTCTTTCATCTCCATCCTCCTCCTCCTTCTCTCTGTCCAGGCAACCAAGCACAACTACACTCTCTGATCGGAAAGGTCAGCAATGCAATTAAACATAAAATCAAAACGTGGGAAAACAGAAGGTTTGTGGATTGGGAGCTGCCAAGTCCTCCCAGTGGGAAACAGGTGGGGGGGAAAATAGCACAGGTTCATGGGGAGGAGCATTAAAGCCAAAAATACGGGGAGCAGACAGGGAAGCAGACAGGAAAAGTCTCTCCCAAGGGAAGGAAATGTGCAGGTGACTGATGAGAAGGGCTCTGGTCATCCCAGAGTGCCAAAATCCTGCTGGATCAAAGTGATTACAGCTGGATATTAGAGAGAGAGAGACAAGCAGGGGCATTTTAGGGGGCATTTTTAGCTGTTTTCCCATGGAGGACCAGATAAGGAAATCTCCTTTTCCATGTATTTCTGACTATTTCCCATCTTTTTCCAGTCTGGAAATGCCTGATAAAGGCTGAAAACGTGGAGCCTGCTCTGCTCCTCACACTGGAGCCAAACCAGCTCAGGGGTTTGGACACCAGTGAGTTCCCACAGCTTATCATCAATCCAAGGGAGCTGCCTGGGCTCCCTGAGCCTGTGGAAACACGAAATAATTCCATGTATCCATCAGGAAAGAAGGATACACAGTCTCTGTGCTCAGGGTGAGCTGAAGGCTGCCCAGAAAAACCTCATCCCCGAGGAGCTGTCTGGCAGTAAATTGATTTATCTCTGGCACAGGCTCCTGTGCTTCGAGGAGACATTGTTTGTTAGGAGTAGGATTTTTATTCTGTTTTTTAAAAAAAAATGGTCCCATTGGATCATCTCTAAGGAAAACACATCTCTGAGGATGAGGAGGGTGTCCTGCCCCACGTGGAATTAGCAGGAGCAGGTAAAAGGCACAGTTATACAGGGCCACAGCCCTGTCAGGATGCACTTTAGGGACACCTTCCATGGGGAGCACCTGGAAAGGGAAGCACTGAAACTGAAAATTAAAGCTGTTTCCTAATGGAAATGGGGCATTCCCATCAGCTCCATAGCACTGGTTTGGCTTCCCTATGGATTTGGAAGCATCATCCCATCTAATTGTGGCTGTACTTTCAGTGGGGGTTGCAGAGACAGGGAATTTTGAGGAGGGTCTGGAAAAGAGGATAATGTGGGAATTTATTAGTGATCTGCTCATCTCAAAGCCTTCAGCTAGGCTCCAAGCCCTCCAGCTCTCTATATTGTCATCACCATGGAATTTATAGCTTCATTTTGGAGCTTCAGGCTGGAGCAGGTCCCAGACAAGGAATCACAGAATCACAGGATGGGTAAGGTGGGAAAAGACCTTTCAGATCCCCGAGTCCAACCCTCAAACCAGCACCACCACCACGGTCACCACTGAACCACGGCCTCAAGTGCCACATCCACGTGGTTTTTGAACAATTCCAAGGGATGGGGACTCCACCACTGCCTTGGGCAGCTGGGCCAGGGCTGGACAACCCTGTCCATGATGAAATTTTCCCTGACATCCAACCTAAATCTCCGCTGGTGCAACTTGAGGCTGTTCCCACTCATCCTGTCCCTTGTTCCCTGGGAGTAGAGCCTGGCCCCCCCCGGCTCCCCCCTCCTGTCAGGGGGTTGCAGAGCCAGAAGGTCCCCCCTGAGCCTCCTTTTCTCCAGGCTGAGCCCCCCCAGCTCCCTCAGCTGCTCCTGCTGCTCCAGCCCCTTCCCAGCTCTGTTCCCTTCCCTGCACACGCCCCCTCCATGTCATTCCTGGTCATTCCTGGAGTGAGGTGCCAGGGAAGTGGTGTCCTCTGCCCTTGGACACACTGCACTGAGGGAGCTGAGCAGAGCCATTCCAGCAGGTACAGCTGAGCTGAGGCAACACAGGAATCACCAGGAGAGGGAAGGAATTACCTTTGCTGACACCCAGGGACATCATGGTCACAGCAGCACCTTCCCCTGCACACACTGCCTGAAGCCAACAAGCCCCTGGAAGAGATTAAAAAAAAGGGGGATAAGCAAAATAACAGTTCTGCTGTAAAAACCTTTGTGGAGGGGACAGCAGGGCCACAGTGTCACAGCCACAGAGCCCGGAGGGGGGGACACTCTGCTGCTGTCCCAGTGCTGGGCTTCCTCCCCACGTCCCTTCAAGGAGAGGAAAAACCAAATCCAGACCAGGAATCCCTCAGAGCGGACATGACTGAGGTGGTTTTCCAGGCCTGGGAAGAAAGTGGGAGAGGAGACCTTAGAAAAAGGTGGGATAGACCTTCTGGAGTCTACAGAACCCAGAGGCTTCTGGAGTAACCTTGGGGTTGGTGGCCAGTGGGAGCAGGACATGAGGGCTCTTGAGGAGGGGTCTGCCAAGAGACCAACAGATCTCTAACAGAGAGATCTGGGATCACCCCAAGACACAGCAGAGAACATCTCACCGCCTGTCTTGGAAGCAAAGAGTTAATTCCTCTTTCTGACAACAGCTGGGTCCCTCCTTCCAGTGGCCAGGAAGGAGAAACTCCTGGATGTCCCCCCTCAGGATGAGGAGTTTGCAGAGCACTCACTGCTTGTTTAGGGCTAATGTTGAATCACAAACAACCACAAACTGAAAGTCAGGGGGGAAAAAGTTGGTTGGTTCAGAGTCTGCCACGACAATCAGGGTTTCTTTTCCCCAACAAACAAATTAATAAATAAAAGAAAGGAAACCCCTCAGCACTGGCCCAGTGTTTGGGGATGAGGGGGACATCTGATTATAGGTTTGTCAGAAATGGTTCTTTTCTTTTTCCACTCCCTTGTTTGTTCACAGAAGCTGCAGGAGATGAGCCCTTGTTTCAGAGGAGAAATCCAGTCACAGACCGGTTTGGGTTGGAAAGCTCCTCCAGTTCCAACCCCTGCCATTGGCAGGGACACCTTCCAGCTTTTCCATCCTCCCCACCCCAGTCTTTCCTTGCCAGAATCTCCTGGATTCTGGAGTGACTCTGCTCCTCAGTAATGAAAAGGCCCAACCCTCTCCAGGAGAATCTAAAATGAGGTTGTTATTCCCTGCTGGTGGGCTTGTCCCTGCAGTATTCCTGCGAAGCCACACGCCCAGGAGGAATTCCAGGTGCTGATCTCATGGTATTGCTGCCTGGCAAAGGCTCCTCCTTTGGCTTGTCTCAGCCAGAGCTCTCCCCACTGCACATCCCCTGCTCTGAGACCATGGACAAGCTCTGCCATCACCCCAAGGCTCCCATTCCTCCTGCAAACCCTCCCAAACATTGATCCAGCTCCCACCAGGAGCAGCCAGCCCACCCCTGCTCATCCTTCCCGGATTCCCCCTTCCCACGGAAATTTAATAGACTTGCTGTTTAGAGAGAAAGGAAAACTCATCCTAAATATCCATGAGGAGCCTCTGAGTACTTGGGTGTCTCCTTCCTGAAGGTGGGAGACGAGGCTGGAGCTGTCAGGAGCACAGAAATTCCTGTAATCTGGCAAATTTGGGTTAAAAAGGAATCACATTCCTTGGACCTCCCAGAGTGAGGTGGATTCAGAAACAGCTACATCAAAGCCCATCCCTGGAAGTATCCAAAGCTGGGTTGGAGCATCCTGGTCTCATGGAAGGTGTCCCTGCCCATGGCAGGAGGTGGAGCTGGATGGTTTAAGGTCCCTTCCAACTCAAACCAGTCTGGGATTCTCTCATTCTCCCTTGGTGCTCTCTTCTACCCATTAAACTCCTTCCCATTCCAGGACAAAATAAAAGAGGAAGATGAGGAGCAGTGGAAAAGAACTATCCAAAATGTCTCATCCATTCCTTTTCCAGTGCAAATCAGGGGCAGGGACAGGCTCCATGTGCCACGGAATGGAGGGATTTGGAAGCCGAAGGGCAGAGTGATTCCCAGGTGCTTATCCTGGAGGAATAAGCCGAGGTTCGGGAACACGTAGGGAAGACTCTGGGGAAGGGCTGGAGCGAGAGAAACAACATCTCTATTGCTTAAACAGAAACTTCGCTTCTTACTCACCCCATTCCCCCCCCGGATCCACCCGAGGGGAGGGAAAGCCACAAAGGGTGGCACTGGCACGGGGAGAGAACCGTGCCAGGAACCACCCGTGGGCACAGCCTCTCCCCTGGCACCGCCTTCCCTGTTCCCACCCCCGCGATCCCGGGAGAGGCGGCGGCGAGCACCGTCCTGCTCCCCCGAGATTCCTGCCGGGACAGACGGCAGCAGTGACGCCCCCCGGGATCGGTGACGCCCCCCGGGATCGGTGATGCTCCCCGGGATCGGTGACGCTCCCTGGGATCCGGTCGACGCCCACTCACGGAATCGGCGATGCTCCCTGGATGGGTGATGCTCCCCCGGATCAGTATGCTTCCCTGAATCCGTGACACTCCCCGGGATCTGGTGACGCCCCCCGGGATCGGTGACGCTCCCTGGGATCGACTTTGGGCAACTGGCTCCTGCGGTTTCCAGCTCTGAATCCCGCCGGGCGGTCAGGGATGCTCCAGGCCAGGAGCTGGATGGTGACCCCGAGCAGTGGGAGCCCCCAGGACACACAGACACCCTTTGGGGTGTCCCCCAGCTCCGGCAGAACTCCCGGGGGTTGGAGCCGCTCCCCTCCTGCTCCCTGGCAGAACAGAGGGGTCTGGAAGGAAACCTTTGGCAAATCTGATGGGACACAGGCCCAGAGTGTCCCCCCAGAGTGACTCCAGCCCTGGGGGCAGTTCTGGGCTCCTCATAAGAAGGACATTGAGGGGCTGGAGTGTGCCCAGGGAAGGGAACAGAGCTGGGAAGGGGCTGGAGCAGCAGGAGTGGCTGAGGGAGCTGGGGGGGCTCAGCCTGGAGAAAAGGAGGCTCAGGGGGGACCTTCTGGCTCTGCAACCCCCTGACAGGAGCGGGGAGCCGGGGGGGGAATTTGGGCTCTGCTCCCAGGGAACAAGGGACAGGAGGAGAGGGAACGGCCTCCAGCTGGGCCAGGGAGGGCCAGGTTGGATCTGGGGAAAATTTCATCATGGACAGGGTTGTCCAGCCTTGGCCCAGCTGCCCAGGGCAGGGGTGGAGTCCCTATTTCCAGGATTGTTCAAAAACCACGTGGATGTGGCACTTGAGGCCGTGGTTCAGTGGTGACCATGGTGGTGGTACTGATTTGACGGTTGGACTTGATGATCTTAAGGGTCTTTTCCCACCTTAACAATTCTGTGATTCCACGATTTTCTCCATTAACCAACTCTATCCAGTGGCTATTTCCATCTTCCACCTGAGGATCAGGGCTGTAGGATCCTGTTGGACGCTGGGCTTGGTAAAGTTTTGGGCTGATATTATGGAATCCCAGAATGGTTTGGGCTGGGAGGGACCTTAAAGCCCATCCAGTCCCACCCACTGCCATGGGCAGGGACACCTTCCAGTAGCCCAGGTTGCTCCAAGCCCTGGGAAAAAAAAGGGGTTTGGTGGTATGGCTTATCTGGGAATTATGAGCTGGAGCCATAGGGTCCAATTTCCTCAGTTGGTGCAGAAGCAAATGTGCTTCCCTAGTGCAGGAACAGCCCTAGTGCTCATCCCCAGGGCTCTGCTTCCCTCCTGGAAGAACAAGAACATCATTTGCCACTTGAATGAATCTTGGAGAGCTGAATTCAGCAGGAGAGGGGGAAACATTGAGGGGAAAACTCCAAGATTTCCCCTGCTCTGGAATCCCTCAGAGCTCGGAGCTTCTCCAGGCCTCACACAACACAAAAGCTGTTCCTCCCAGTGGGTGAAGTCCCAGGTTTCCCTGGAGTGGGTGGATTCTGGAGGGTTTAGGCTCCAAAAGCACCTTGTGAGAGTCATTTAGAAGGTGGAAGCACGGCCTGGGAGTTTGGGAGCAAAGCAACACCTCTCCTGTGGCACTGCCAGGGGAGATCCAGGAATCCCTGGAGCATCATCTCCAGCTCTTCCCCACTGCAGCTCATTTTGCAGGACACAGTCCCGAAAAAGCCCCAGGAGAAAGCCTTTCCTCTCCATAGGATGCTGCTCCCTGGCCTCCTCTTGCCAACCCCACCCAAACACAGCCCAGCACTTGGGAGAAAAGGAGAGCAGAAAGGGGAAAATGGCCCCAAAATGATGCTTTGGGGCAGGAAATGTGGTTTGGGCACTCCCAGTTCCCGTGGCTTCAACATCCTGTTGCTGCCAGGGAGTCTTTGGGTGCACAGAAACTTCCAGAGCTGGGAGAGCACAACAAACAGCTCCCTCCCTCTGGCACACTCGGGTGGCTGTTCCCTGAAAACCTGGGATGCTCATCCCCATTCCCCATGAAGATTTTGAGGGATGAAAGGCCAGCAGGTCCAGCTGAAGGGTTTGTCACCTTTCCCACTCCTGGCCCTGCCCCAGTCCCAACCCTCTGTGTCCCTCAGTGTCCCACAGAACCCCATTTTCCCCTAGATTTAAACCCCATCCACGTGGAATTCCCCAGCTCTGTAATCCCCACAGCAGCAAACTCTCTTCACCATGTGGAGACCTAAGATTCCTCTGCCTCAAACCAGATCCATCCCTTCCCTCTTGCCTTACAGCTCCAGAATAAGCTCTGCCAGGCCAGACACATCTTTTCCTCCTCTGATTTTCCATTACTTCCTAGAAAATCCTCCTGCTGTGTGACCAGGAATATCTCTGTTAGAAAGGCCAGAAAATAAGTCTGTTTTAGACACCAGGGCTGTTCAGGAATATAGGTTTTTCTCCCAAATATTCCCTACAAATCTAAAATCTAGGGCAAAATAAATCCATTTCAATAAAATCCCTCATTCCCTCTGTATTTATGTGGAAGGTTTTCCATCAGAAGGGCTCCCTTTGGAGCCAGTTGCCTCCTCTGAAGTGTCTGCACACCACAGGCCTGGATCTTAATTAGCACCCCTGGGTGCCATCGTTATGCAAATGAGCAATAATCCTGCTCCCTTCCCCATCCAAAGGGTTCCTGCCCCGTTAAGCCTTGCCCAGTTGACTCTGG